ACAAAAATTTTGTTTAAATAAATGTGGCTTAACATTTAACGTTTCAAATATTTACAAAATATCAGACCACCTATTCATATTTTGAAACATTTTTAAATGCAGGCTGCCTAGTTAACATTTTTTTGCAGCAAATTTTATGGTCTTAAAACATTGTGAAAGTCTGACTTTATTGCTTCTTATGTATACACATGACAAGGCAAGGCAGCCTTTAGTAGTTGATAGATTATCCTCACTGCACATCGAACCATTCAGTCTATAAGTGCTTGGATTCCCTCCATAGTAAATTAGTCTCTCGACACCAGTTTTGTGTTGATTTCTTGTTCTTCTTTGGCTTCCTGCATTGTGCCCGTCGAGCCACACGCCTTTAAACATGTTCTTGCAGTCTGGTTATTGTTGCAGATTCGGCCATCACTTAGTTCTTAACGTCTTCTCGTAGAGCATTCAGAATATCAGCTGGGTCAGTGGCTTGTTCACCCTCTACAGTAGCTTTACATACAAGCCGATCAGCTTGCTTATTTTCTTGCACATGCGCGCCCTGACACAAATGAAACTGACATGTGACAGGGTTCTTTATTAATATCCTACCCCAGATGACATCACAGGACAGTCCAACATTTTAGAGGGTGGTAAGACTTGGTTTCCTGGCTTTCTTTTGCTTATAATGACCACAAAACATCCAGAATTAACCCTAACCCACCTACGTATCACGAGAGAGTGCAGCCTAGGTCCCACGAATGCATGTGTGTCCAAACAGAACCTATGAACAGCATTATTTTAAGCTGAAGGTCCTTTAACAGAAAACCCAGGGAAATTTTTGTACATTTGTTTATTTGTACATTTTCCTGTATTGTCACACTCAACAGGCGATGTAGAGAAGAGAATCCTGTTGCTGTTAATGCAGAGGTCAACGCTCTCATCGGTGAAAATTCAGACGAAGCAGATGCAATAATCTATACAGACGGATCCGTTATACGCCAAAGAAGAAGCGCATGGGCATTTACAGCACGCTCAGTGGGCAGAACAGTCAAAGAAGCCAACGGCGCCTTCTCCATGACAACCAGCAGCATGACGATGGAGGTGATGGCAGTGACGCAAGCATTTGCCTGGCTTGAAACACAAAAATACACCCGTGTATGTATACTCAGTGATTCAATGAGTATGATCCGGAGGGTTCAGGCAGGTTCAGTGCGAAGACAATGGCTTGAATCATTACAGAAGTCCTCTGTGCGTGGAGTCACCTTTATTTTTGTTCCGGGATACGCAGGCGTCGATGGAAATGAAAGAGCTGACAGGTTGGCTGGATCCGCTATCACTACCGACGGTCAGCCTATGGATCATGCTGATATTATCAATGCCCTCAGAGAAATGGGAAGGATAGAGGACTTTGGTGGCAGTGAATCCACATCACTCGCCAGAATGGCAGACTTGGGAATTAAGATCGGCACAGCAAAAAACGAGACGCACACCAGACACGCCAGAAGACTTGTTAATCAACTTAGAACTGGTACTATTAGCCATCGGACGTTGGGGTTCATACTGAGGGGAGGATCTGAGCACCTATGGACATATCCGGAGTGCAATGAGTATAACCCAACTAACTAACTAACTAACCCAGGGAAATACGGCTGAGAATCTTCACGTTTCAAACAGAGTATGCAAAGACAGGAAGTTCCAAGAACAGCAACTCTGTGTGCGGGGCCCATTGTGATTTAGGAGTGCAACTAGTGATTAAAGTGGTGGAGATTGTTGATAGCAAAAGTGGGACTTTGGGTTTCACATTACCTTTCCATTGCCGTTAACTTCCTTTGTCTTTTCCTTTCATAATTTTTCTCCCATGTCCCACTGCTCATATCGCAGTAGAGACCACCTCCAACATCTTCTACTGATCTGTGATTCACTGCAGAGGAAACCAAACTTATTACCTCTGCAACCCTCCAATTGTTTCCAGTCATCCCCACTTCTGAAGACTAGGAATAAAAAAAAAAAAACTGATGATACCTCCTCTACCCAATACCAGTGTGTTATCTTACTTTCCAACAATGAACCAAAGGATCAGGATGTGGAGGGCTCGGGCATATCTTAAAATATGTGCTGATAAGAAACACCCACTGCATCAAGTGCTTTTTAGTGAAAAGGGCGACAGACTGAAGAGGGGGAAATCGTGGCTAGGTCGGGCAGAAGATGTTATTAGGCAAATATGCAGCCTAACCGACATCATACCTGGTGCAGAATGGATACCTGTGCCTCAGGCGTTTATTTGTACATTTTCCTGTATTGTCACACTCAACAGGCGATGTAGAGAAGAGAATCCTGTTGCTGTTAATACAGAGGTCAACGCTCTCATCGGTGAAAATTCAGACGAAGCAGATGCAATAATCTATACAGACGGATCCGTTTTACGCCAAAGAAGAAGCGCATGGGCATTTACAGCACGCTCAGCGGGCAGAACAGTCAAAGAAGCCAACGGCGCCTTCTCCATGACGATGGAGGTGATGGCAGTGACGCAAGCGTTTGCCTGGCTTGAAACACAAAAATACACCCGTGTATGTATACTCAGTGATTCAATGAGTATGATCCGGAGGGTTCATGCAGGTTTAGTGCGAAGACAATGGCTTGAATCATTACAGAAGTCCGGTTAAAATGGATGCTAGGCAGCGGCGCCGTTTGGAACAGAGGCACATTTTTTGCTTCTGCCGGACGGTGGCCGATGCATTTTTGCTCCATTTGTAGACTGGATATAGTTTCGTCGCCCAGCCTCTGAGTTAAATGCATGGCGTGACCCTGTGAGCTGCGGATTGCTTTTGGAATGTTTTTTTTCCGACTGTGACCAACGTGGTGGTGTGAATTGTAGATTCAGAAAATGGCGCGATGCCTGTCGTTCAATGCTTGCGGGACCCGTATTAAAATTGATCACGCGGACGACAACTGCTGATCTGTTGACGACAAGTTCTGCTTTCATCAATGATGAACTGCATTTCTAATGTTGGACTGTTTGTGTTAGCACTTCGGATGGCTACCATATGCTTTAATGTGAGTGTATGCTAGATATGCTGAGACAGCAGTCTGTCAATTTTTCCACAAGGGACTGTGATAGACATTCTGAGTGTTTTTCGCTGGTACAGGAGCGGAGCAAAGATAGGGCAACCCGTCTGCTATGAAGCTGAAACTAAGACTACCAGACCAGACAGAAGTCCACTGTGCGTGGATGGAAATGAAAGAGCTGACAGGTTGGCTGGATATCACTACCGACGGTCAGCCTATGGATCATGCTGATATTATCAATGCCCTCAGAGAAATGGGAAGGATAGAGGACTTTGGTGGCAGTGAATCCACACATCACTCGCCAGAATGGCAGACTTGGGAATTAAGATCGGCACAGCAAAAAACGAGACACACACCAGAAGACTTGTTAATCAACATAGAACTGGTACTATTAGCCATCGGACGTTGGGGTTTATACTGAGGGGAGGATCTGAGCACCTATGGACATGTCCCGAGTGCAATGAGGATAACCCAACTAACTAACTAACTAAGTGTGTATTCTTGTCACACCACCTAATGTCAAGTATCATTTGTAGACACTGCTTATGAAAGCTAGAAAATTGTTTCTTCATATGCAAGTCAGCTGAGTTTTTTTTTTTACCATATAGAAAGTGCTGAAGAGATGTGTTCGATAAGCAAAGGTTTTTGTTTTAACCATGAACTTTCTTTTCTCCCAGTATGCTGACTGCTGTTTTTCATATCCTGACATTGATTATTTGGTCCAGCGACAGTTCATTATTGAGTAAGGATAAAATCGTGGTTCTTAGATATAACATATACATTAAAATGTACAAGACTTACTAACCTCATCTTCTTCATCATCGTCATCGTTATCAATCTCATCTGGAAATGAGAGAAAAAAACTTGAATTAAACTCCAAAATGGGAAAACCTCAGAAAAAGAAAATAACTATGGCTTCAATGTACCTGTCCATTAGAAACAAATTTTTAAAAAAACTAGCGTGGAAGTGAGACAGGGTTGCATAGTATCCCCTCTCCTTTTCCATTTGTACTTGAAACACATGAGAGAAACACTAGGAAATCATGAAATATATATATCCATTGGCAGAAGACAACTGTAATCTACATTTTGCAAAGGACATTGATCTCATAGTTGGTCCTAAAGGAGAACTCAAAGAACTTACTACAAAATTATAGACAGTCTGAGGTAAATATGGCATGAAAATTAAAGCTAAAAAGCATGATTCTGGTAAATATTCACAATAAGCAAGAACCTACCAACATACAGATAAAACGAGGGGAGGGGGAACTAGAAGAAGTTGAAACCTTTAAATATCTTGGCTCCCATATATGTAACGATGGCAGCGGCACCAAAGAAATCAAGTTTTATGTGCTAGTACTTCCATCGATACACCATGATTCTAATGGGTTAACAGATATGTTATGAGAAACTAGGACTTAGTAATAAGAGCTTAGTTTTGACACTACCAATACCACATTCAATAAAACTGCTCATATATCATTAACGAGTAAAGTATTCTACTACTTTTTTATTCCAAGTAGTTTTTTTACAATGACCATTTAAAAAAGTTAGGCCCCCCGTCTCAATAAGAAAAAAGTACAGATACATTAACAGATCTAAAAATTAACTGTAAGATACAACCTCACAGTAACAATGACGTTGACTTCAGTATGTGTTAGCTGACTGCCTGATCTAGTCTAATATATGAGCTGCGGTGGCACCGTGACTAACATACTTGCCTATCATTCCAGTGGCCATAGGTTTAATGAGATTCCTAGCTTTCTATTTCTGGGTTAAGATTCAACATCACAACATTCAGGACAAGCCCATTTTAGCTCCATCACCTACCACCCCAACTTCAAGCTCTCGTGTTGGTTCACCACCAAATCTCTGAATAACCCCCCGTTTTTGCTAAACCAATTCTCTATCAAGATCTGGTGACAGGAATTTTTAACGTGGTTCATTTACAAACTTACCATCAGCCTCTTCCTGTTCATCTCTATCAAATCCATCCAGATAGGTAATCTGTGACAGCTTAGCAAACACCTTCTCTCTATACTGATCAATGTTAGTCACCTCACAATTGAATAAATCCAGAGACTGCAAGCAGTGAAGATCTTTCTGTTAAAAACAGAAGCAGAATGTAGCTTTTCAAACTTTACCAATTCAGCTCACTGGAATAATGAACTATTAAATGCAGATTTAGCATGGAGTACGAAACTGTTCAAGTATTATGGTACAATAATAAAAAATAAAGCAAATGTGCAAAGGTTCCGAGTGCTCAGAATGTCCCAAGTATTCTCACGGTTTAAGTGATTAGTTTGCTGTTGGATCTGCAATGACACATCAAATGTATCTCCTTTATTTGGCATAAATTCTGATGGATTGAAAACATGGGCACCAACTGGGTGGAATATCTTGGTTTTGCAGATATTATTCTGCTAAGTAATGACATGTGAAGAAAAAATTATTTAATAAACACAGCATAAAAAGGTGATATAAATAACTTATGAAAGGACGAAAAGACGGAAGACACAAAAAACAGCTTAAGGTGTTATCTTAGGAATTCTTGTATCCACTCAAATTCACTTGATGTCTGCATTAACAAACCCTTCAAAGTTGCTTTGAGAGATAGTTGGAACCAACAAATGAAGTCTTATGGGGAGAATTTGACAGCAGCAGGTATTACAAAGAAACCAACTACAGGAGAAATTTGTACCTGGACAAAAAGATTCTAGGATAATGTGAAGATTGAGACTGTTGTCAAGTCATTCAAGAAGTGTGGCATTTCTTCTTCTTCTTCTGCGTTCGACATCAGTCATGCTAAACACTGAGTCCCGTCTGGGTCACAAATAGGATTGTGCGTTTAAGGTCGCCAACGGTCCCCCATAGCTTCTTTCAATGTGGCTCTCTTGGGCCAGATCCAGTCTTTGCCACCGACTGAACTGAGAATGAGGCAATACTGATTGATGGCAATGAGATGCAGTGATTCACCATCAGAAAGGACAAGCTGAAGAACTAGATGGATACAAGTTTTGACACATAAGTTTTCTGGATTAAATAATGAAAGTGAAGTATGTTTAATTCAATATGCCCAGTCCCAAAATCAACGTGCACTTTATACATGGGATCATCTGACACTTTGGGAAATGTATGAATTTTTCATTTTAACATGTCAGTGAAGGCTGGAAAACCACTTAAGATACAGAACTTTTTCTTTGCATTCACCAGCTGTAAACTCCGGCAGAATGTTATATCACCCCTAGACTTTAGCCTTGTCCCAGAACCAGAGTGTTGTGTGCACATCCATTTTATGGATCTTATTTGTATGCAGATTGTTGGTGGCTTGTCTCTAAGGCGGGTGAGCCCTGACTTCGAAGAAAGTCCCTAGTTGGTCGACTCTTATGATATGCTTGTTGGAGAGAGAGTGAGTATATCATTGTTTTCCTGAAGCACGAGAATGATATGAGATGAAAGTTAACTGTGTGTTAAAACAATATCCTTAAGATAAGATTAACAAAATAGGACGAATTCAAGAAAAGTAAAAATATACTAAAAATACCTGGAAAACCAGTGGGTATCAACAGTTAAAATATAAAGAAGCAAATGCTACACTGAACACATCATGAGAGAAAAAAAGCAAAGAATCACCAGACAGGAACTGAAACGAGAAATACAAGGATTTAAGGAAGTGGAAGTCTAAAATAAACTCTAAAATGACCCCTGACAAGAGAAGCCAAACTAAATTGCATCCAAGAAACTGCACAGAATAAAGTGAAATGGAGTAAACTGCTAGCCCTATGTGACTGACTGTTAACAAAACAACTGGAATGATCTGTTTATTAGCCAGTTATCCTATTAGCAGAAACAAACAATAAAAGTAATACAAACCTAAATGGAGCTTCTAAACAAACGAAGACAAACAGAAATAAGTGCCCTACCAGCACATCTGGTGAAGATACTAAGAGGATGGTGGATTTAAAAAAAAATTTGTTTATCCAGAGAAACTGTAAGAGCAAACTATATGTAATAAAAATCATGACCTATAAAATGCAGAATGATTTTCAACAAGCCCAGTCATAAAATGTACTAGAAGCCAAGCGAAACAGCTAACAGGAAAAACCATATCTGAACTAAAATTAAACAGTGAGAGAATAGTTACAAAATATCATCTAGGACTATGAACTATTCAGCTTACGATAATATTACAATAAATGGTCAGTTTATTTTTCAAGGTGATATTAAATGTTATATTTGGGAATATCATACTAATTACTGTGATACAGACACTGACAGAAAGTTGTGGTCTTCAGTTTTAAATATCACTTTAATGGTTGTTATATCTATTATGCCCTCAGATACTAAATATATTGTTTTAAAAACTAAGTAGGCCAACTAGAATGGCAATGAGACCTTGTGATGCAGATACAGCTTTAGATTTGGCATTTGTTAGTCAACAGTGCTGGACAAGAATGGAGTGTCCTAGACGATCACAGGAGTGACCATATGCCATGCGCATGTGATTTCTAAAGCTAGAAAGATCAAGGCTGTGAGAACGCCAGTACCTTTCTTGGACGCCTCCAACAAAGGTATGCATCAGAACCACCAGAAGTAGAAAAGGCATGGAGAGCAAAGCACGCAGCAGTTAAGCAATTACAGGAGGTGCAAAAGGCACCTCACAGGTTACAAGAGGATGAAGAGAATTTAGCAAGAGTTAGAAAGGAAATGGTAAAAAAGAGTTCAAATGGTGTGCAGCAGATGCAAAAAAGGCTAAATGGGAACATTTTATGAGCAAAACTGGAGGGGATAAATCACTGGGTAGTTTTGGAAACTTCACGGATATGCAAAGGATCAGCCCATCACGACAGGCATTATATACACCGATAATGATATGCCAATGACAACAGACAAAGAGAAAGATGAAGCATTTTTAAAGAGATTTATAGCCTAAACTGATCATGATGACAAGGATCTTAAAAATTCAGTTAGAGATAATCTGTCATCCTCATCATCATAAACCACTTCTGCCGTTAAGCGTCGTGGGGAGGAATAATTTGCGATCCAGTGCACGTTGGTTGCCACTGGCTATTGTCATGCCATGAAGGCGTAGAGGCTTTAATGTTGTCGATCCATGTTTTCCGCGGCCGTCCTCTTGCTCTTGTAGTTGATCATCTGAGATGTAGTGCTTATGATGGTATTTGATCTTGCTGCATTCTAATGAGATGACCAAACCACTTGATCTGCTGTTTCTCGGTGAATCTAGTACAAGGTGTCGTTCCCACAATTTGCAGTTTCATTATTCACTCGATCTCGTATGGTCAGGTTGGCTGCTTTTCTCAGGCACCTTATCTCGCAGGTGGTAATTTAGCGTATATGGACTTTAGATAGTGTTCATGTTTGGCACTGGTAGCTTAATGTTGGAATGAATATGCTATTAATAATCTGTCCTGTTAAACTACAAATGTTTTTGGAAAAGGAAGAGCTCCTGCCAAAAGGTTTGGGTAGTTACCTGGATATCTGGTCAAATGCAGCTATTTTTGCTTTTGATGTTTGTGAGGGGGTTCCAGAACATAAAAGAGACAGTTGTGGCAGCATTTGATCTTGAGGATGCATACAACAGAGTCAGATTTTATATATCTTCACTCATGGAGAATGTGGTTTGTCCCTGGCTTGTGAACTGGATAGCAGCTGCCCTGCATTTGTGTATGGCTGCCTTTCGCCAGGGTACATGGCGAACCATGTAATATCACCCCGGGACTACCCCAGGGTTCTGTAAATTTCACCAGTGCTCTTTAATGTGTATACAAGCCAAAGTGCAGAACATTAGGCACCAGGTGTTGGAAGAATATTAACATTTGCCAATGATGTTCTTGCATATAGGCAGGGGAGTAACAGGCAATGGATAGCCCAAGAGCTACAGACAACTGTAGACAAAGTGACTGACTGGTGTACAGAAATGGGTGCTGTCATCAATTCAGAAAAGGCGGCTGTTTTGTGGTGCTCTCTGGACAATATAATTTTAAGAGCTAATGTTCCAAGCCTCATAATTAATGACAATAACAACAACAGAGAGGGCAAACTGAGGTGCCTATATATCATTTGATAGAAACCTGTTCTTCAGGGATCATGTAGAGGCAGCTGCTGTGAAATGCCAAAAAGGACTCAATGCTCACAAGGTTATGGCAGCAGTGGACATGGAACAAAGAATGCTGTTCAGTGTTCCAGCAAGTGATCCTGTTGGTTATCAATCTGGAATGCTTACCATATTAAAGAGTCAGCTGATGAAACTTAAATGCATCTAGAATGAACAGTCATGCCTAGGAACATAAAGATCATTACAGTTTGGGGATAATGGCGCTGCAAGGAGTTACAAGGAGATCTGGCCGGCGAGACAGATATACAATCAGACAGTTACTGGTGCCATCGGAATTGGAACACTTCACATGCTGCTGAAGATGGGGATGGGGGTGTCCCTAGTGCTGTGATGTCAACTCTTGTTACATCATAATAACATAAATTTATCTTTTTAAATGTCCTTAAACATTTCTCAATGCCTCTATGCAAACTTCATTGACACATTTGCTTATATTTTTATTAATTTCAAGAGATAGGACAGATAATCTAAGACTACTAATACACTATCAGAAATGTAACTTCACGCTTCTACTGAGGGCAGAGCACTTATGGCAATGTCTCGAGTGCTATGATGCCAGTTCTTAAAAAACTTTTATAAATTTGAGTTTGTACGATGCCTGATATTATTTGCCAGTACTTACTAAACCATCCAGGATATCCATATTCTTAATCTTGTTTCCACTCAAGCTTAGATGTGTTAGTTTAGTGCAGCCAGTCAAGTGATCTAAGCCTCCTGATATTCTGTTGTCACTGAGATCTAACTGAAATGTGAGATAATTTGTCAATTATATATATATATAAAATGAACAAACATGTTAATACAATAACAAAACTAAATAATTGTCTATTATTACAGAAAATATGTTATATCAAATAAGTTTGTTCTGCAACACCCTGTAAAGAAATGCAAAAATTTGTAAAGCCAGGAGAATGAAACTAAACACAAAGACTGCTGAGGCAACAACTTCTTGGGAACAAAAGAGAAGTTAAAAAGCCTTAACTGTCTCCTTTGGTAATTATGAAACAATCCACGACTCACATCCATGTAGCCATAGGAAAAATGAATGTTTTCCAAATCTACTTTGATTTGTTTCCTGGTACTGTGACTTAACGACGTTTAACTTTCAGGACTGCTTAATTCCATTTTTCAATGTTTAAAGGTTAAAATCGAGTGGATCGTGATTAGTTTCATATGGCTTCATCCTTCTCTGCAGAAGGCTAGCCAAGTGTCGCACAAAGCCTGAATACTGTAGCTCAAGGAACAGCATGCAGGAGTCTTAGAGTGCGAGGCTAACGGCCAGACCATTTTGCCACAGATCCTATATTCTTTGGTAACTATTTGCCAATCAGCCCCTGTCTTACTGATTTAAATCAATCCCATTTTCAATCTTAATTTTTTTATGATAACTGCCTTTTGCCAGTATCCCTCTTCTCTTCTTAACCAGTGACTGCTCAATATTGTATTTACTTGTTCAGAATAATCTAAGGTAACCACTTGCACCCGATTTGTGATTCATTCCTGTGTTTTTAAGGAGTGAAATTATTAAACAGTAAATAAAATAAGTTCAATTGTGATTTGCTTTGGATTTATTCTGTATTTTTTGTGGAGCAGATTTTATAAGGTACGGGGGGGGGGGGGGGGGGGGGGGGGGGGGGGGCGCATACACTTTATTACATATTATTGGCTAATGTGACCAGTTTGCCGGCTAGTATATATTACAGTGTATGACATTACAATTTTAAAAAAAAATTTATGCTGAAGATATGTGTCTATGATGAAAGAAATTCATTTTCTGAGCATGGAGGCCATTGAGAAAAATGTTTCTAGCGGGCAGCCATTCATATAAGACAATTAAAAAAAAAAAAGCTTCATTTGAATTTTAAAAAACATACATAGTTATTTTAATCCACCTGTAGCTATTTTTGTTAACATAAATTATTATTTATTATCTTAGGATATTATACACAGCAGCATATACAGGAGTCAGAAATAAACCACAAATATTGTAAACACTAGATTTTGACCCCCCAAAAAAACTGAATCCCAAATTTTAACAAATTAAAATTGTTTTTAATTTTTTTAACTTCAGTTGAATATCAAATGTCTAGTTTTATCAGTTGTAACTTGACTGGCTCGAGTTGTCGCCATTATTCAAATGCGGGTTGTGGAATTTAGTGTGTGGATCAGCAAATAAAAAATCTCCCTACAAAAAAAAAATAATAAACCTCATAAAATTATATAAAAGTGAAAGTGGTTTTAGATTTTAAAAAATAGAACAGCACATTGGCATTCACTGAATTGCATTAATCTGTTTTATTATTGCACCCTCAGTGTTCAGCTTTAAAGAAAAAATCTGGAAAATTATTCAGCCATTAGGTGTGCCAGAAACTAGTCATAATGATATTCTGAGCTATTTAAGTTTAGTAAAAGTAATAAAACTAAAAAGATAAATTACTATTTCAATTTAAAATTGTATTATTTGAACATTTATTTGTCCAGATAATTAGCATAATCAATCAATAAGAGACATGATTGTGTATTCCGCCATTTTGTTTCAACCTTACTAATTCAACTAGGTATTTTAGTCAAAATTAAAAAATTGGGTTTTTTACTTTTAAACCAAGACAGCTGAATAGAGGTTGAAAACCCGAGTCCAACGGTACCTAAATGAAGTCTGTATGTCGATTCTAAGCGGAGATATTCACATTTCAGTGACGGAAAGTGTCCCCAAAAAATTATAATGGAAAACACAGAAACAAGATGGCGGCATGTTCCCAAGTGAAAACTGGACCTCATTTTATCATGTTTAATGTCAATAACTCTCAAGTTTTTGGCTGAACCCCTTAGCAACCATATGTTATTGCTTTCAGGACAGCAAGCTCTAACTAAAGTTGTTGCCTTTTAAAAAATATGATGTGGTGCAAACCTAAATAACATAAAAATGAGTCAATTTATCAGTATTAATTAAATACCTTATGAATTTATTATTATTATCCAGTGAGTCTTGCAAGACGTATACTGTAATATATATATATAAATATATATATAATTTTGTAACTATTCTAACTGCTATGATGCATCTCTTTCTGTTTGTTGAATAATGCTTTTTCTCGCACTGTCACTTGTGTGTGTGTGTGTGCATACATCTGACAGAAATTTTGCTTTATTCCACTGTTTAAAAAATGTTCAATAGCAAGTGGATCGACTTCATTGCATCGTTACTGGTTTAGTATGGCTTGGTCTTTCTCCACATAACTGAACGGCTAGCGCATGCTAAGAGATTAGCACAAAGCCTGAATACCATAGCTCCAGCAACAGCCCTCAGACGTCTCCTCTAACCAAAAAAAATAATTTTTTTTTAGTTGAACAACGCAGTAAACGTACCGCAACCTTCTGAGCGTGAGGTTAATGGCTTGACCACTTTGCTAGGGAGACCCCCATATTGTTTTATAACCAAGTGAAAATGAGAGTCCCTCCTACTGATTTAACATAATCCTTTTTTCAGTCTTTGCGAGTTATTCTTTCATTTTATTGATGATGAGGACATTTCACCATAGTGTTCCCCTCTTCTTCTTAACTAGTCACAGCTCGATATTTTATTTACTTGTTCAAAATAATCTAAGGTAACCGCCCGATTTGTGATTCAGTGCTATATTTTTCATGGAGTAAAATTATTAAAATAAGCTCCTTTGTGATTCGCTTTGGATTTATGTTGTGTTTCATGGAGCAGGATTTCATAAGGTAAGAGGAAAAAATAACATTTTATTTTTTTAAAGTGTCTATGTCCCACGTGATCTGTTTGCTGGCTAGTATATATTAGTATATATATTTAAAAAATTATCAAATATTATTAATCATAAGTTGTAAGTAGCCCTAGCTGTAAGTAAGTAAACTTATGCAGTTAAACAAATTATAATATTTTATTATTAATTTCACTAATCATCAACTTTCTAAATAAGCATAAGCATATCTAAAATCTAAGGAAGTAAAAACTACAATTTTAATACTAATACATAGTATCAGTCATAAATAGTACTTGTTATACTATCTAAGACAATAAAAATGCACCACAAAATCATAGTGCAGAAATATATGGCAGACATTTTTTAAATGTCAATCTGGGAGCGGAGAGTGGGGGTCAGCAGGTAAAAAGGCCTTAAACAGGTCAGGTCCTTCATGCCCAATGATAGGTTAAGGCTTAAAAAAATTATATAATGGCTAAAGATTCCAAAAATGATTTAAAAACTACTTTAATGTGATTTTAAAGTATATTAAAAAATGTTCAAACCAATGTCTGTGTCCATTTTCAACACTAAAAATACCCTAGCCAAATGGTCAATGACAAAAACGTGCTAAAACATTATTTTCAGCTATTTAAAACTATAAAAACTGATGTCAAATGAAAGTTAAAGACAGTTAAATGATTAATAGAAATAAAACTTGCAATATTTTTTAACTGTTTTTATAAATAACTAGATATTAATCAATCAGTTTGTTTAGACCACGTGGCGGCCATTTTGAAACATCTCCAATTTAGCTCTCAAAACACGATTGGGAACAAATTTAAACTTTTAACTTCGTCCTGTACAGATTCCTACAAAACTGCCCACCTTTATGTAAAAATGGACACAGAATCCAAAAATGTCAACTAAAAGTATTTATATTCACTTTAAAAAGGAGATATTAAAGAAATTTAATTCCCGCATGGCAAATAGTGAAATTTATTTGGCCGAACAAAGATCGCTATGTAAGTTAGGTGTCGATTGGTAGAGCGACCTCTTCTGAATAACTTTGAGCCCACATATTTGATTCAGAACAGCCAATATTGAGCGACAGGATTTCAAAGTAACCGATAGGCAAAGAAGCCATTTTTCGTGGACCACCGACTCCATCTTGTAACTAAGCGATCTCTACTTTCGTTTTAAAATAGGTCACGTGAATCTTCGTAATTGCTAATTCAACTAATGCTACAAGAGTTGATCACGAAAAGTTTTTGAAATTGTCAAAATCTCAAATTTAAACTTCATAACTGCATGTAAAAATGGATGCAGATTTCATTAATCCCACACTATAGATCATGGAAAGCCTGAAATAAAAGTTATAACAGAAATGTAATTAACCCTATTCCAAATAATAAAATACTTTTCACTGAGCTAATGCATTTTTATAAAATACGCGCTGTTCAGCAGTCTGATATCTGCTGAAACGATCACGCTTTTTGTGTGTGTTTATTTCTGAACAGCCAGTATCGAGTGGCAGAGTTTTTAATAGTATGGAAATGCAACATTTTTCTGGGGCCGTTGGTCCTTTGTGTAAATTGGAGGTCTCCATTTTCGGTGATCTTTGGCATTCAGGGAAATCGAACCACCTACAATTATGTCACCAACTAATCAGAGATATGTTAGGAACAAATTGATTACACTGTGTGGCCACCCTGCCACACACTTTATCAGCAACAACAAAAATTAAACTACACTGTACAAAAACATATGGTCTCAAACAAGGATAGTTCCTAACATTTTAAGAAATATTTATTTATGTTTAATATAATTTTACTTTTACCTTCTTGAGATTACTAAGCTTTGGGAATCCTTCTAGAGTCTGCAGACCTGAATTTATAAGGCTCAACATTTGAAGATTAGTAAAATTACTGTTAAAGCCTTCAATTTTATTTGCCTTGCAGTTGTCCAAGTTTAGAACTGCAATCTGTAATAGATAATAATAAAACAATGAAAGGAAAGATTCATATAATTATAATTTCATAAAATCATCATAAAGTTTCTGATAAACTGTGACATGGTCACTACCCATACTGCGTTTTAATGTTGTGCTGTCTGCACAACAGGCCCATCATGGCCTTCACCCTTATTTCTAGAATCTTCCCACTGGGCTCAGTGTTAGCTAATAGTGCAGAGTGTCCTTGGCATGAGCTTTCAGTAGTTGGCCAGACATCACGTGACTCTCCTGTCCAGCACAAAAAACAATAAGTTGTTTTTCACATTGTTGGAATACTTTCACTGGCCCGGCTAGTTAAAGTCGCAGTAGAGTCTGCAAAACAGGTGGCCAGAAAGTTCTAGAAGGGAGCTACTGACACCTATATAAGCCTTTGCCCGGAACCTTTGAGAGGAGACAGCAGAGAAGGACAAGAACAGGAGAGGGCCAGAGCAGGACAGTCTGACGGGAGAGAAAGCAAATGTTTACAGCAGTAAAAATCTACGTTAGAAGCATGTAGTCTTGTATGACTTGTCAATCATGTTGACTGATGATACAGGGAGAGAGCATATATACAGATTGAGAGGAGTGAAATTTTCGGTCGTTGCTCAACCACCTTTGGGGTCAGATTCTGGACTAGACACCGATCTGGGATCTAGCGACGAAGGAGGAGAAGCTAGAGCGCAGTAACGAATTAGCTCTTTACGGCAGGCTAAGTCCGATGTAGTACCAAACCGCACTAGAGGCTAGGTGGCAGTTAGATGCTAGAACCAGTTAACCAAGTAATTAGAGAATAAAATCAGTGTGAATATATTGATATAATTTGAGACATTGTCGCCATAATACAATAAAGAGTGTAGATGAGATTTGTGACTTCTAGACAATTCATTATATTAGTATCAGAGACTCGTGTGAAGCATGCAGCTAACGAGACATCATCATCCACACCACCACTATTGACACGACCATCTCTCTCCTCGTCTATAATTTTCCAATCGACTCCTCCTGTAGCAAACTTAAAGACGAACCTGGGTGTGACATCAACATACGCAACCAAGAGAGCTGTGCTACAAAACCACTTTTGCTGTTGCGTCTTGGTGAGGAAATCTGTGATCCGGTGCACACTGGTTGACTCTACCAGGACTATTTAACTAGCAGTCCGCTGTCATAGCTAGTTGTAAAAATTATCTTGGCCCGTTTCGATCCCTGTTTCCAACATTTGTGGCCCCTGATGAATAGCTCTGATCTATATTACTGTCATCAGGTCAAGGCATAAATTGTCGTTACCGCTGTGATACATATTTACGTAGCCATGTTCTTGCAGCTGACCTTTTAGGATGTAGTGCCTGTGATAGTATGTGATGCTGCATTCTACTTAGATGGCCAAACTGATCTGTTTCAGTTTCTGGATGAATCCTTAGATATTTTTATTCCCACAATTTTTGTGATTATCTCCAGTATTAAGTACAGAAGAACCTCGCTTAACGAGCACCTCTCATAACGAGTAATTCGCATAACGAGCTAAACATAGTGGCGAGGAGAGGGAAAGTCCCGGATTTGCACATGTTACATCAGTGCTTAGCACTCGTTCCAGTAGCATTGTCGCTTGTGATCACACATTTTCTCAAACTTGTGTTATATGTACATGATTCCTCCAAGCCTACATGTGATCTCCCTGAAGAATTTAAGTTTAAGATCCAGTTTCTGCCTCCTAACACCACTCCGTTACTCCAGCCAATAGACCAGCAAGTTATTTCTAACTTTAGGAAGCTCTACACTAAAGCACTCTTCGAGCATTGTTTTCAGGTGACTGAAGGAACCAACCTCACTCTCAAAGAGTTTTGGAAAAATCACTTCCACATCGTTGCCTGCCTCAAGATGACCGACGAGGCGGGGGAAAGGGTTACCAAGAGAACCCTAACTTCTTTTTGGAGGAAGCTTTGGCTGGATTGTGACTTTGAGACAGTACCTGTGAGACCTGTAGTCAACGAGATTGTGCCTTCGGCCACTATCATGAGATTGTAGGTGGATAACAGTGATATCGAAGAGCTTGTGAAAGAGCACAGCCAAGAGCTGACCACCCAAGAGCTGCTTTGTGTTTCACAGCAAGACGTTCTGGAGGAAAGTGTGTCAGAGGAGGAGAAGGTAACAGAAAAGCAACAATCTTCTGGCGAAAAAAAAATGCTGAAAGCATGGGAAACTGTTGCTTCTCATATTGAGAAGCATCACCCTAATAAGGAAGTGGCTATGCATGCTGCAAATTTAATGATAATGATGTGTCGCATTTTCGCCAAATTTTGAAGCGTCGACAAAAACAAATGTCTCTGGACATCTTTCTAGTAAAAATATAATTAGCTATGTATCGTCATTATTTAGAATTTTTTCTGCAAATCAAATTGGCATTCCAGGTGGGTTTGTTCCACGTTTGAAGAAAAGATGGAGATGATTCACTCTCCTTAAATATGTATATAATTTTCTTTGAATAAATGTTATAGTATAACTTATAATATACACAGCATTTTGTGAGTATTTTTGTCAACATGGAACGCATTATTGTATTTAAAATTAATTTATATTAGAAAAATTGCTTCGCATAACGAGTGTTTCGCTTAACGAGTATGATTCTGGAACGAATTGTGCTCGTTAAGCGAGGTTCCATTGTATCATTTATTCCCTAATTCTCAGATGGTATGGTTAGGCTGGCAGCTTTTCTCTGGCATCTTATATCGCAAGTGGTGATAATGCATATATTAAATCGATGTTGGTGCATGTCTTAGCAATAGTGACAAAACAAATTTTACTTGCTTTTTGACATCTAGTCTATATTTCTATGTCATATCTCATAATTCTGCCATCTTCCGTGAACATACTTCCTAATATTTAAATTTCTAAACTAACAATACCATAAAATAATGTACCAATATCCTACTATCCAATCTAAGGTTCCTTCAACTTCAATTCAACCTCTATATGAAAGCAGTCACTACTACATAACTTGCATATAAACTGTGTAATTGCTGGCAAAGTTTAAAAAAAAAAAATTTGCCGCTGCCACTTTTCTCTACTCCTGGAATGCTTCACGGCGTCAGGGAAGGAAGAGATCTCCAGAACGGGCCTTTCTGTTCGCTTCATATTTAGTACTTTTTAGTGTCTCTGATATTTCTGCGGTCCATGTTCTGCATGGTCGACCTCTAGGTCTGTTACCGCTGTATTTGTATAACATTGCTCTCTGTAGTGCCTTGTCTGCTGCCAATCTTGTTACATGGAAAAACCATTTGATTGGTTGTCTACCTACAAAGTTCAGTATTACTGGTTCTGTGCCGACTGTTTATCACCTAGCATAGTATGTAAATATTTCATTTCTGGCGTGACTATTTGTCTTCTGAAAACATTGTCCGTGTTTGATATTGATAGCATAGCTATAATTAGATTCATAGCTAAATTTCTTTCAACAGTGCATTTTCAGTGTTATGAATAACAATGTTTCAACCACAAGTTCAGGTCTTTCTGCAGCCAAAGCTCTGAAATTGTTTCAGTCAGAAATTTTTAATTCTGATAATAAAATTTAAATTTTTCGGAAAGTAATTTTCACCAGGGAAGCTGAGTGATCAGCTGTTCGCATTCTCGCGATTTTGATGAGCTTATTACACAGACAATGTCCCATTGCTACTGTATTTATGGTGTAAGAGAAGCCAAACAAAGAGACAGTACTATTCTATGGCTAAGACACTGAAATCATTGCAGCTAGTCTATATATAACTGTACAAAGTAAATAGTTAATTTTTGCTCTGAAATTTTACTCAGTACTCTGTTGAGAACTAAGAACCCCTGAGTGCTAAAGTAACCCAGAAACATTATGAACTGTAAAATTTGTTAGAAAATTAAACAAACTCTGATATTTTGTTTTCAAATTTGGATATTCACTACTCTTGCGGCTGCAAAATCATGGTAAGTGAAGAATTTGTTTGTAAAATGTAATGTGAAATTACCACCTGCTGAATTCTTTGTTTCTGCAAATCAAACTAAACATACTTATCAGATTCAAAATGTCGCAGGCCACGTTAGCGCAGTAGATAAGAAGCACGCTTTAAAATCCAGCTGTGACTCGCAGCCTACGCCTACGGTTGGTGTTTAAAACCGGACGGTTCCTGGGGTTTACCCAGCCTCTAGGAAATGGGTACCAGAGTTGACACTCTGGGGTAAATGATGGAACGTTGCTGTAGCTACAGAGTTACCTGCGAACGAACGGCGACACATGCGGGCAATTCTTATTAGGTGTCCGTACTGGTGGCAGAGCACTTAAGGTTTATAACCGTGTGCAATGATGCTGGTTCACATATCCAGACTTTACCTTTTAGATTTAAAATGTACATTCATTTCGGCTCTCCTCCGAACGGCGTCATAATATTATGGCGGCCATAAAATATCCAAAAACATCCTTACTGGGCTGAGGCATATGTAAAATGCAGACTGTCTGCCGAGGAACAAAGCGCGGCAAAACTAGGATTACTTGACAATTTCAACAGACGATAATAGCAGACATTAATAGCGACCGTTGACAATATCGAGACATTACAGACGATGAAAGTGATATGGCGGGTAGACCATGCGCTCCCACGCAGATTAGCAATACTGGTCTTCCGACTGAGGATTTAACAGCTACGCGCGGCGGGATAGGGGCTAAACTAGGTGCCTGGGACTCACGAGCAAATTAATTGGAGGAAGTTGCAGGAAATGCGGTAGCTGCTGCTCGTGAGTCCTTGCCATCTAGTTTAGCTCCCATCCACGCTGTGCGCAGAAACAGGTCCGCAAGTAACCATATCGCTGAGACCCTGTTATGTTAGTTAGAGCATTTGTTTCGTTATACAGAGCCGGCTTATTTTTAATAGAACTGAGCCCCGTTATGATATTTATGGATATTGTATGGCCGCCATAATATTATGAAGCCGTTCGGAGGAGCCTTCATTTCTCTTTAAAAAAATATTATTTACTTTTATTGGGATTAGAAGTATATTATTGCATTCTCTATTGCTTTCTTGTACACCACCCCCCTCTGCCATTTTTGTAAAGAGAAATTAATGTGGGCCAAGTCACAATTCTTGGACCTGAAAGAGCTAAACAGTGTTTTTAGTGTGTTTATTTTCACACGCTTGAATTTTAAAATTGATGCCATTTGGCCTAACTAAAACAAACTTGATTTGCTTTATTGCATCTTTGTTGGATTTCTTTATTTATTCATTCTTCCGTCTTCTGAAAAAAAAAAAAATGCTTGCCAGATCCAGATATGTAAAAATCCTTCGCCTACTTTACCTGGGGTTCATCAATTTTGATATTCATATTGATGGTCTACTTCTACTTCTTCCTTTGCAAAAGATTGTGATTACTTCTGTTTCGTAAACAATGTCTACGTTGATTTTCTATCGTAGTTTCAATGAAACTTTCATTCTATTCAGTATGGAGTGTTATTATTATACCTTAAATAATGTAAAATGAAAAATATAATAAATATACCTGGTCTGCTGGTCGACCTCTCATTTCAAGCTCTATTCGTTTTTCCAGTCCGACAGACATTTCCCTTAAGTAAAGTAGAATTTAAAAAACTAAATTAAAACCCAGAAAATCTTCAGCGTGGCAACTTCTGTCGACTCAAGGGGCGCCAGATACAACAATACCTCAGGTCGGTGTTGATTGGCTGGCGTCGACCTGGTCCACGAGGTATGCTCATGAATATTTAGTACCCCACGGCTAGCTCAGCCAATGGGTGTGTGCATATTTCAAACTCAGAGACAACATTAGGGTTGTATTTCTCATGGCTTCCTTTTACGACTATTGCAACCGGAAGCACATGCAATGGCAATGATGTGGAACACCAGTTAAGTTGAGTCAAGAATCGACATCACAACACTCAGGGCATTCCCATACACGCACCGTCCCCATCACCAGTAGCCAGCGCAGAGTTCCAGTACTAATAGTGCCAGTCGTAGTCTGGTTGTGTGTCTCTGTTTGTGTTGGTTTATGCGTCTGCCTGTATGTCTGTGTGCGTGTGTGACTGTATGCGTGCCTGTGTGTTTCCCTGCCTGCGTGTGTGTATGTTTGTCTGTGCGGGTTTATGTCTGTGCGTTGGACGTGTGTGTTTGTATAGGTCTTTTTGTGCGGCTACGTGTGTATGTGTCTGGGTTGTATGCGTGTGTGTTTTAGAGCGCATGTCTGTGTGGGTGACTGTGGGTATGAGTGCATGTATGTATGGACGTATGTATACATGTATGTGTGTGTGCATGTTCGTATGTAAGTGGATGTGTGTATTGTGAGTGAATGGGTTTGCGTGTGTGTGTTCGCGCGTGAGCGTGTGCACATATTTTGCCACCCATGCCTTTGTTTTTGACTTGATATTCATAATATGCATATAATTACATGAACATAACATGCTTTATTGATGAAATACAACTGCTGTGTCAAAGATGGGAGTTTGGAAGGGCCGAATGTATGACAGGCCTGCGTGCCTAATTTGTAACTCTTTGAAAATAAAGTTCGTTCGTTCTTGCCTTTGCACTGAGCGTAGTGTGCCGGCCGAAACCTCTGGTCACACCCAGCTGCATCATTCTCTCCAGCCCATAATAATCTAATTTCTCTTCTGACTTCGTTACAATCAGGGAATGTGTATATATCTTGTTCTCTATCCACCGGCAAGTTGCAGTGACCGCCTCCACCTCCAGTCTCATGCTAGATGTTATGGTATCAGGTACCAGGCTGTCCTGCACTAAAAATTGTCCGCTGGCTTTTGCTACAAAACCCCAACCCACACCAGATTTTCTCCCCAAGACTCACTTCATCGCCTCTCTAGAGAGGGACAGTGTATTATATTCAGACTAAGGACTGGGCACAACAGATTTCGTCAACATATGTTCAAATTTTCGGTGTAGGAAATACGCAGACGTGTTCCTGCAGCGTGGCACCCGAAAATGCTGAGCATGTGCTCCAACACTGTCAACTGTATGCTGACAACAGAGACGCAATCTGGCCTGTTCCAACCACACTGAAGACAAAACTGTATGGTACACGAGAGGATATGGATTGCACGATAGCTTTCATAAAAGCTACCGGCCTCCTGATATAAGTTTTCTGACAGAAGGATCGAAGAAGAAGAAGAAGAATTCAAGGATGTATCGCATGCACACAATCGGGGTGTCTCATGTACATCCCAGGATCACCCGCATAGCTTCATTCTGTATGCGCTCCAGTTTCTACAGCTGACACTTCGAGACAGTGATCAAACTCAGTCTATAATCAATCACTAAGATGATTAAGTGCTGGTATAGTGTGAAAAGACCTGTGGAAGACTTTTCTTGACACGGGCGGGTCTTGCTAGTCAGACTCGCCATCGCCATGGACGGTCGTGCCTCCTCATAGCGCAATATAACAATATCGTCTGGAAAGATGGAAAGGTGCCAATGATGAGTGTGAAAAGCATTCTCTGCTCCATGTCCATTGTTGCCATAATCTTTAGTGAAATAAGACCTTTTTTGGGCCTTTGACACAACCACTTCTAAGTGATCATTGAATAACAAGCTTCTGTCAAAGGTTATTTCCAGGTACCGCAGTCTGCTGTCTCTCTTGATGTCCGTGCCATTTATTTTGAGGCTTGGAACATCAGATCTAACAATCCTGTTGTCCAAAGAACACCACAGGACGGTTGCCTTTTCTGGGCTGATATCAGCACTAATCTATGTACACCAGTGGATCACCTTATTTACAGACACATGTAGCTCTTGAGCAATTTGATTCCGATCTTTTCCCTGCCTATATGCGAGAATATCATCTGCGCATGTCAATATTCTACCAACTCGAGGTGTTTCCAATTCCGCAATCTTCTCGTGAACACATTGAACAGCACAGGTGAAGTTGCAGATTTCCGTGGTAGTCCTACAGAAAGTGCGACTAACCTTCCTAAGCATGCAGGGGGAATTTGAGTGCGCGGAAACATATAAGAAAGTTAGAATAGAGGTTTTCAAGCGTTGTGCAGCAGAGGCAAAAAAAAAAAAAAGCAAAATGGGAACGTTTTATTAATGATGGGGAACACAAGAAGCCATCCAAATAGAATGGTACATTCATTTAATGAATTGATGACGTTGACAAAAGTAGAGGTGAATAAGAGGACGCCCTCACCATCACACAGCAAGGCCTCTGCTGAACTTTGCTGTCATCACAGCATGCTGGGATTATATTCGGTCTCTTGACAATTTTCACGCCTTGTGAACTTTAATGCTAACACTAAGGGTGTCCTTGGTATTTACTTTCGCGCTGTTCGATCTCTGCCTCTTCTCCAAGAACCATGCTCCTCATTCTGTTCTTTCCAAACTATACTGGTATTTATTGTATGAAGTATTTAAGTTTTCGAGAAAAAATTACCGTTTTTTAGGCCCCCCCCCCTCTCCCCTCTCTTTGCACATTATTGAGAATGACAGTAGTGTTCCCTCTCTTGGTCCATCACATGACATTCCAGGAATTCCCTTATCATTTATGTTCAAAACCACTAATTGTTTTAAAAACTGATTTCGGGATAGTCCACTGTACTTATCGTATATTGTACCTGGGGATGATTTGCTCTGACATCAGCAATATCTAAGACTTTTTATAAAATCATTCTCGAAAGAATTGAAGGAGTAGTGGACAAAATCCTGAGAGAGAACTGTGCGGGGTTTCTGCCTGAAAGAAGCTGCTTAGATCAAATAATTACATTGAGACTTGCATATCTAGGGAGCGTTGTTTTCCCCTTTTCTTTAAAAAAAAAAAAAAAAACAACAACACGGAAGAATTAATAGCGAAATGCAGCAAAGATGCAATAAAGATAATCAAGTTGTAGGACAAATGGCACCAATCTGAAATGCAAGCACATGAACATGAACACTAAAAGGGCACTATGCAGCCCAGTATACTTACCATCGCTATATTATTGGTGTCAAACATGGACACGGTCTTTATGGGACAGAAGAAACATAGTGACGACATAAATGAAATGTTTACGTATTATGGGATAGGGATACTATGCTTGGCGTAACAAAAAAGATTGACTTGTGAACGATGATATCAGGAGGAGTCTGCACAGAACCGATACTGAACTTTAGTGGTAGACAACAGATCAAGTGGTTTGGCCATGTAACATCACTGGCAAAAGACAGGGTGCCACATATAGTAAATATTATACAGATACAACGGTAAAAGAACCAGGGGTCGACCACGCAGAATATGAACCTCGGCACTATCAGAGACACTGAATGAAAAATACTGTATACGAAGCGAACAGAAAGGCGCGTTTGAGAGACCTCTTCCTGTCCCGACTCGAGGCATTCCAGAAATAGAGAAAAGAAGGGGAAGATCGACTTTTAGGTTTTCAATAGTTTACGCAGAACATCACCGAGAGGGGGGGGGGGGGGGGGGGGGATTTTGGAATTCGAAAGTATACCAGTTTAAAAAAAAAAAAAACTCACGGCCAGGCTCCTGCTTTTTCTAGAGAAGGCGGTGAAATAATATATAACATAATTAAAGCAATGTGTGAAGGTTCAGAGTGTGCAATATGAACAGATAATGGTTTCAGTAACTGTGGCAGTGCTCCTTGCATTAATAGTCGCCAGGTTCGTTACGACTAAGTCTAGGACTATGAACTATATGTGACCGAAACACGATTCCTTTGCTACTGTTTAACATCTGTTGAATGATAAGTCTGCTTAGGATTATGGTCAGGGCTTAGACAGATATGAGTAAGCTACCGTATAACAGTAGCCGGTACCACCTGTCTTGTGTTACGCCGAATGTTGGGAGGCGTATACCAAACCTGACATCCCAATTGTGCCAACGGCCTCAGGCAGAGGAGCGCATTGGGGAGGATACTAGACTTATCCTAGGAAGAGGAAATGCAGCCTGAAAACTTTATGTTATGGCAGGACAGACAAGGCTCTTACTTAGCCTTGGCTGGCAGCTGGTCTAGGAAGGAAGCTCCGACAGACAGAGGACTGCGCTCCTGATCCGGCAGCTTCTGCAGCCTGCTTTGTTCCAAACGTACTGGTGTTACCTTTCCTTTGGAGTAAACAAGGCCGGTCGAGGAAGGAATCATGATGCATTGGCAACAAATGGTCTCTGCAATACTGCCCAGGCTTTGGGATATGGAGAAGATGAACTTCATCCCTGGCCGTAATTGGTCTCCGAAACAAATCGAGAGGCAGCAGTTACGGGTTATAAGTCCTTGTCACTTGGAGTAGACGAGGGTACCACGGGTTGCCTCTGACTGTGAAAGACATCTTCGAATGTCACCGATCAACTACCGCCAGCCTCAAGCTGGGCAGCCCCCAGCCAATAAGGTGTTGATCCGCCACAGCTTGTATGCTTCAATGGGTGCTTGGAGTTAGGACAAAATCCGAACTGCAAGCTGTAAAAACCAATGTATCAGGCAATAAAAAGAAACATAACCTGAAGCTTCGACTTGGCTCTTGGAACATGAGGACCATGTGTCCCATGTTTTCCACGGACTTAGAAAACATTACTGATGTGACAAAACGGCTATCATTGATTGGTACTCT